ACCTTGGATTTTTTTCAAACTTTGTAAATTTGTATATTTTTACGCATAGAATTGATTTCTGAAAACAAAAATTATCGCTTACTTTTTGTTTTCTTGTTTTTTTTTATTTTTGTTTTATAATGTCGGAAAGGCAGAGAATAGTTCATACATGCTTTTCTCTGCTTTAATAAAAAGCATAAACTCTGTTATAAAACAGAGAATAGTTCATACATGCTTTTCTCTGCTTTAATAAAAAGCATAAACTCTGTTATAAAACAGAGAATAGTTCATACATGCTTTTCTCTGCTTTAATAAAAAGCATAAACTCTGTTATAAAACAGAGAATAGTTCATACATGCTTTTCTCTGCTTTAATCAAAAGCATAAACTGTTATAAAGCAGAGAATGGTTTATGTATGCTTTCCTCTGCTTTAATCATATACACTATCTTATAAAACTTAATAATTACCTTTTTATACGAATTAAAATTTAGATCTAACTGTACACACGATTACAACGTTCTCGTCATACATGAACTATTCTCTGTTTTATAACAGAGTTTATGCTTTTTATTAAAGCAGAGAAAAGCATGTATGAACAATTCTCTGCTTTATAACAGTTTATGCTTTTGATTAAAGCAGAGAAAAGAATGTATGAACTATTCTTTGCCTTTCCTACTTACCGACATCATAACAAATGATGAACAAATGATGATAAACAAAAAGTGAGCAACAATTTTTGTTTTCAGAAATCAATTCTATGCATAAAAATATACAAATTTATAAAGTTCAAAAAAAATCCAAGATGGGGACGTTATACTTATATATTTATCATAAATAAATAAATATATATATATAATGTCAGGCCAATTGCAGCACTTAGCAAAAAGATATCAATATCATTGTAAGAAATATTAAATAAAAGATATACAGTTTCATTGCACCAAGCAGCAGGGTTAAACCAAATGAACTGTTTACAAGTCAGAGCAAAGTTTACTTTTACCCAATCACCGGCCGAAGAGTCCGGCTTGCACGTGGTGTTGACCTTCTGACCTGATCTCGACTGTACTATGATCTGGGCAGCTCTTAGCGCTAGGTACTTCGTGAACTTGTCTAGGTCCTTCCTGTCCTGCATGCTTAATTGCAGCGTCGACATTGCACATAATCGTGACACTGATCGAGTCTCATAGGCGCTCTCGAGAGCGTATACGTGAGTGAGAAGCACGTCGTAACGTTATAATAGAACAACACCGCATTTTCGGCTCACGATTGCACAGCGTACAAATACGCGTTCGTGCAACGTAATCGCGAGAAAGTACCTTACGCGTGTGTAGCGTACATACACGTTGTACTTTGAACTTCTCGCTCGGTTCTCCCCTTTCTCTTCTCTCACAAATACCTGTCGGTTGATGACCGAAGACCTTTTCGAGATAACGTATAACTGCTAAAGCACACTAATTTCCACTGCAACGATCGTGAGTATCCGTAGTGAAGTATCGAAGTACCGGAAAATATCGTAGAGTACGGAATAGTAATCTACGGCAATAGTGCGATAGAACGCCTATTATCTGACCGAGACGTGACACGTGGAAATACGACGACGATGACAGTTTCCAACTCCTCTATTTTTACGACGACACAGAGATCGATTAGAGGCGTTGCTGAGCCTCAGTCGCTCTTGTTATGATGTGAAAGTAATGGAGGATTCTGACTGCAGGTCTGTTCTTTTTAGTTGAACTGGTGCAATAAGTTATAGCATGTTCGACTGGCTCTGGGTTGTTCAGCCTACGTTATTGGTCGAACAAGTACTTATAAGCTTTATGATTGGCTAGTAGAGACTTATGACGTCATTAATCGCTCTCGGAACGAGAGCCAGCGTTGGGCACGTATTATACTGAGATATTATACATTGGTTGCTTTCCAACAAGAGACACAAGTCACACAAACATCATTTTATCTTTGTTCCACATTTAGTGAATAACAAAGATAGGATGATACTTGTGTCGATTTATGTCTCTTGTTGGAAAGCAACTATTGTGGCTGCGTTCCGAAATTAACTGCCAGTACTGAAAGTATGATGTCATAAAGTAGAACTGCGGATCCGTTCCGTAATTACTGATGCTGCTTTTCAGCTTGTAATGCAATCAATAACGGAACGGACTCGCAGTAGAAATATTCAGTATTGTGGAGGTTAAGATAAACAAGTTTCATAGATAATTATGGATCAAACATAGCGTGATATGGAGATTGTGATTTTAACAAAAGTTGTAAAATATGTAATAGAATCTTCTGAAAGTTCTTCAGATAGCGAAGAAGATGATATATTTTTAAGGACTCTTAATAGAAATTTGACTCCACGTTTTCGTTGCAAGGACTATGTTGAAAGTGTTATACCATTGTATACAGACGAGGAATTTCAAATGCACTTTCGGTACAGAAAACAATATACAATTTTTACCTAATGTACATCAAACGCATGTAAAAGAAATATGATAAAATGTGCCATTGATTATTAAAAAAAAAAAGTAATATCAAGAAAATGGAATTTATTGTTTCAGACTTAAACGAAGTACTTTTCAATTCTTATTTAAATTATTAAATCCTAAATTAAATAAACAAAATAAAATAAAAATAAAATAATTATAAAAGTAAAATAATTATTGATTATTACAAACTTATACCTGTACGTGCTTTTTCAGCATCTTCACGACTAACTGTTACACTATACATTTTATTACTTTCTGAACATATGAGGCTTAACGTCTCATCACAGAGCGCCGCCATTTTTTCACTGCTGGTGTCTTACCTCGCCAGCCGCAGTAACGAAAGCAGGAAATTACGTCAAAATATATGACGTCACGTGTTAACGAAAGTACATTTAAAGCTTATTGCGACGTATTTCGGAACGACTTTGCAGTACTGCAAGTACTGACAGTGAGTTTCGGAACGCAGCCTGTGTTATACACTGTATTATACAATATAATGGCTCCTGCACACAGGACGCGGTAATGCTTGCCGCGCGGCGAAAGTCCGCGCGACAGCCAATCAATATGTTGTTTTTCCGTAAAAGCTAGAAGGTTATTATGGAAAGCAGCATATTGATTGGCACACGGTGCTTATTTTCGTACTGGTTCGCTTGCTGGAAATACTCTGTTTTGATTGGTGCATTTCCATCCATTCTCAGAAATGCACCAATCAAAACAGAGTATTTTCATCCAGCAAGCAATCCAGCACGAAAACAAGTACCGTGTGCTACTGGTTTAAGTTCTAATTAGAGTTAAGCCAGCAGCACACGATGCTTGTTTTTATACTGGATTGTTTGCTAAATGGAAATACTCTGTCCTGATTGGTGCATTGTACGGTAGTACAACGGGCACGAACCAGGCACGAACGGGCACATTTTATCGTTACTACTGCGAAAATGCGCCTAGCTCAGGGCAGCGATCATGTAACTTTTCCCCTAGGGCGGAAACGTGAAAAGTGAAAATTTCACGTGAACTCGTGATCACGTAACTCGGCGAAATGTGGAAACGTGAAACTTTTCACGTGAATTTGTTAGCCATGAAATGTGCTGGCGGAAAAGTGAAAATCTAGTGACATGATGAATGCGGAATATATTATGCTACTGCTGTGATGAGATACATGAAACATAACAATCCTAAGGTTATAGCGATGTTTTTAAGGTTAATATGTTTTACAGCCGATGGATATAACTGATTTGACCGATATTGAAATCATGTAGGAACCATATTTAGTGATTTGTGCTTTTCACGCATAGAGTTATTCGATTGCGTGAGCAATGAAAAAGTTCACGTGAAATCGATAGAGTAAAAAGTGAAAAATGAAAAGTTCCGTTCGAAGTTACGTGATCGCTGCCCTAGCCATTGAAATCAGGCTGGTGGCCACTCTCATGTTTCTCTCTGCTGGTAACACCAGCGAAGAGTGGTGCCCTCGCCGCGTTGTGGCAACTTGAAGTTGAGTTGCTATGTGTCGTACTTGTCACTCCGTCGTCGACGGGGAAGTCGGTAAATATCGTTAAAGCAGGAATTACAGCGGGTAAATGCGCTCGCGCTTATCACGGAGTATGTTAGTATCGTGCGCATTCACCAATTCACTCAAGACTTTATAATAATGACCAAAGGGCGTCTAAATTATGGTACTCTATGGCCGGTCTCTCTCTCTCTCTCTCTCTCTCTCTCTCTCTCTCTCTCAATGGTTTTCAGGCCTGGTTCTATTGGCCCTTTCACCACAGCTTTATGATATGTGGAAGTATATACGCAATGTTCGTCTGCATCCGCTAATCCGATCCGTCCCTTACGGACACGATTTGGTAATCCGATTAGCCTAGGGAACTTTCTCTCTAGACAATTTACATCACTGCGATTAATCCGATTAAAAATCCAATTGCTACACGTAAACACCCGTAATGAAACTGAACCAAATGCGACTATCGATTATGGAATCGAATGTTGTGACGTAATATTGTCGATTAATGGAATAGACAAATGCATGACGTATGGATGGCGTAAAGATATGTTTCAACAAGTTCGGACATTTTTTTGGAAACAATCCTCGGAATTATTTTTGGAGAAAATTAATTATTATCAAATCTTATAACTAGACTGGGAGTGCTGTTGGGGAATATATATAATATATATTACTGAGTCTCCCTGTAACCATATACTGAACTGAACTGAACGTATCGATAAGAAAATTAAAGTTTTTGCAGTGTAAAATAAAAATAATATATAACACAATAGTAAGTTGTTGTTTGTGTGGACATTCGAAAACAAGAGGACATCTGGAAACATTTCATAGATATATAATATATTTAATGTAAAATAAATGAATTAAATGAAAAGTACAACGTATAGGTTAACTTTGCTGTATTTCATATATAATAGCTACGTTCAATAAAACGTTTATTTTTAGCAACTATTGAAAACTTATATTATATATAAACCAGTTGTATATAAGTACAAATCTAAGATTTGCACTCGACAATATGCTCATACAATTGATTAAATTCTGATTTCATTTTTTATTGCAAGTGACTAATTTTATCTTTCTCCAATATTAATAAAATATAAATATTATTTTTCTATTATTCTTTTTAAATCATTATTCCTTTGCTATATACTTCCAAAATATTTAAAGTATACCGCCAGATTGTGTTTCCGATAACGTCACTTATGACGTATGAATACGTCACAAAACTGAACCAATGCGACACAATCGATCACCTACGATATATCGCAACATGCTCCTTCTTGATATTCTTTATTCAATAATTTATTCTTGATATTCTTTATTCAATAATTCACTGAAGTATTTTTCTTTTAACTCTGATGATATTATGTACTGTAGGCTTCAGTGAAATAATATGCCAAACGCTATTAAGAAATAACAATAAGAAATGTATTTTTTTGCATTTTAAAAAAGTATGGCCATCTTATCCGAGTTTGTCCTATGTACTGAGAGAAAAATATAGTTACTTTTGGCGTCAACTATACTCTTTTGTGAATTTAACCACAAAAATAATTAGAAAAACATTGAATTGTTTTAGTAAGTGTTATTAGAAAGATGATTCTTCTAATTATTTTTCTGGTTAAAATCACAAAAAAGTATAGTTAACGCCGAAAGCAACTATATTTTTCTCTCAGTGCGGAGCGTTCAGCCCGCATTACTTTATACTCTATGGGTTAAAGATTGCTTTACTTCGTAAACTGGGTTAATGAAAGGATTTGTGAAAGAATTAACAATGCGCGTATAAGGTGGGAAAAATCATCCGAATAAGGAATTTATCCCGTGCTTCATTGTATCCATATCTGATTATCTACAATGATAATCTGATAATGTGCTACGTGACTATGAATGGTACAAAGGAGATAGGAATCTTTCCACGTTTAGCTTCGTTCACGTTTCTCGATTCATATCACGATATTTGATATTTTATTAAGATTATAAATTAAATAATTAATCATAAATAATATCGCTCTCATATTTCAAATTTTAGTAGCGATAGTCATCTTTGTTCTTCCAAATGGAACTATATAACTTTTTATGTAAATCAAGGCTGTGTGTAAAAGAATAAAAGTGAAAAATAAAACAATATTTTAAAGAGATATTTTATATAAAAATATGACGAAGTAAAATTTTTAAGATATCTCATAAAATATTCATACACATATATTGATAGTTTTATTTAGTGCTTGAAAATTAAATTGCTCTTATATGTACATTGATGAGAAGAGCGTAGGTTTATATGCATAAAATAAAAAATCAAATAAAAACACATCTTTTAAAAAAAAATTTAAAAAAGTTTAAAAAAGTTTAAAAGAAGTTATTATGAATTGAAAGGACAATAAAGACGTAATTATATCTAGACATTCATGTTTGCAAGTCTAAATCGTGGGTGCTTATCGTTCGAATATTTTATCAAATCGAATCATACAATTTTTTACATAAATATAGGTGTGAAAGTATAAAAATAAAATAATAAAACAATTAATGCTTTATAAAAAATATTTCATACGAAAATATAGTAAGAAAAATTTTTAAATTATCTCATGAAACATTCACACATTCTCTGACACTTTCATTTAGTGCTTAATAAATTAATTACTTTTATGCATATATTGACAGGTTTATACGTAAAAAGTAAGACATTAAATTATTCTTCTTTAAAATAAATAGATTGTGAATTAAGACATTGACAGAGACGTTATTATTTTTAGAAATTTACTTTCTCAAGTCTATGTTGCGATATGTAGATGTTATCGTTTGTACGTTCCGGAAATATCATCTTCGTCAGATCGGCACATGTTACTTATATCGTCGACTTGAGTAGACTTTTCTCTGTTTGCCGCGTGACTCTCTCGAAACATGAACGATTCGTCGATACGTTACTCGCTCGCGGATGTCGCCAAGTGTAACGGCAAGAACGGAGCGAGAACCTGGGTCGTAATCTACGATAACGTTTACGATGTGACGGATTACTTGGACCAGGTACGTTTTCACTGCTGTACTTCGAAATCGTTGAATAAACCTACCTACGGTATACATGCGACGACAATTTCAGCGTTTATCCATGCAATGGATTGTGAAGTGATTGTGAAGATTCCTGTGCACAAATGTTCTATTTTGTGAATTTATAAGGATATGGAGAGAATATTCTTCAGTTCTTTTTCCATATAAATTCTTTCCAATTTTATTATGTTTTCGAATGATGCAGAATAAACTGTTAATAAAGTTTACTTTCTTAAAGAATGTAGAATTTAGTCTAAACAATTACTATTAGAAAATCCATTAAATTTTAAATTCCAACATAAAATTTAATTAAATGCCATTTAATTAAATTTTAATTTAAAATTTAATTTACTCAATTTCTCAGTAGTAATTTTCTAAATGTAGTAACGATATTTGATTTTAAAGTTTTCTCTCTCTATCTTTCTCTTTCTCAATTAAGTAGTATTTAATTAAATTTAATTAAATAGAAAATTAATTTTCAATAAAAATTTAATAAATTTTTTAATTAAAAAGTGTAGTAATTTTTTACATAATAGACTTTAGCTCCTAAATGTAAATAATACATTTAAGACAGAAGGATAATAAATTAAAACAAAATATCAATATATTCCTCATTTACAAAATTCTATAGTAATTTTTACTATAAAATTCTTTCCTTTACTATACAATTTTTTCCCCATACGATCATAAACACGGCGTAATGGGGAGAAGGATGATTCTTCATGTTTACATTATGACTTCGATTAGGATATTTGCAAACTTTTTTGACGATTCTTTTTAATTGTATAATATAATGTGGTAGATTTAACGGAAGAATTATAGCGAATGGAATAATTACAGCATCCCGGTGGTGCGGATTTGCTTGATGAGTACGCGGGAAGAGATGCCACGAGCGAATTCGACGAGTTCGGTCACTCCTCAGACGCTAAGAAGTTAATGAAAAAGTTTCTACTTGGCGAACTAAAAGACGTAAGTAAAATTAATTCTTATGTAAATTAATTCTTATACAATAATTAACGTTTTCGGGAATTGCCCGGAGAGAATATTATATATTTTCTTCTCATATAAATTCCTTTTAATTTTAATATGTTTTCTAGTAGTACAGGAATAGATTGTCAGTAGAATTTTATCTTGCTAAAAGTCATATATACTAAATTCTCTAACAGTAAACATTTGTTCTTAAATATAAATAACATCTATGAGATGGAAGGATAACTTTAGAGAGGATAAACTCAAGCAAGTCGGATATATTGTTTGGCTACAAGGTTATACAGTAATTTTTATCATAAAATTTTCTCTCCGAGTATTCGTTGATTTCACAAAACAGATTTCTACGTATATTGTAGATGAGAATTTTTCACTTAGAATCTTTTCGGTAAAATGTTGAATAAATGATGTGTGTTATTATAGGAAGATAAACGGGCTAATCGAAAGAAGAAGCACGTTTTTAACGGAACGAAAGCGGAAGAGGCAAGCAGGCGAAGGTCAACTTCTCTACTATTAATAAACGCGATTCACAATATTGAATTTATTATGACCAAAAATCTCTCCTTTTAGTAACATCCCAAGTTAACAGTGATTAAACATGAACAATCTTAATATAATACTAGATTAATTTCGCAACTGTAATTTAATCTGCTCTTCTCGTTTCAGAGGTCTTTTGGCAATTCTCTGCGGCAAATGTACGTCTTGAAGAGCCCCGTCGCGCGATCGTCGTTTTTAAATATGTTATCGGTACAATTTTATTTATTACGTCATTTTATCTTCGCACATTTTTTTTATATTTATATAACGCGCCGCAACAAACACACACATGTAATAGCATACGTGCTACTGATAAAAATCATCGAAATTGAAAGTAAATGCCCGCTTATCGCTTATGTGTGTACGCGATATGTACGGGGAATCCTGGGCGCAAAGGAGGAAAACCAATTACGTCCGCGAATACAAATGAGTCATGTACCGTCAACGCTTATCGCATTGTCAGATAATGACGTAAGAGACCAGTGACTCGCTTGCTTCTCGGTGCAATTTTCATTTCGCGAGCGAGGTGTTGCGAATGTCAGCTAGTACTTCCAGTTTTTTCTTTAACCTTTCGCGTGTTGTGGACGCATGTATGTGTTCGGCAAGTGTTATCGATGTGGACTATGGACACATAAATTAGTCCGAAGAATTTCTTCGGCTTATACTCCCGACACAAGCAACAGCTACTAATTGCGATGCGCACTTGTCTTTATGTTCTTTTACTTTAGCGACGATAGTAAATAATATTCATTTGTCCATTGATTTCGATTTTTCGAGAAGCTCCATTTTCTAACTAATTAATTTACGACAGCCCAAAGTCTCTCGTCCTCCGCGATTGTTTAACTCTGAAGTGTTTCGCACACAAAAAGTTAATTAACTTGCGTCTCTTACAAATTAGATCTCAAGTAAACTTACGGTAATGTCGAGTGGAGTTCTTTGAAATTATGGTAAACTGTGGTGCATACGATCGACGCGACGAAAACATATAATTACATATAACTTACCTATATGTAAATATAATTAAATTAAATTAAATATATAATTAAAGTAAATAAATTAAATATAGAGAAATTAAATGAACTTTAATATAATTATTTTGTTATATTTAATCAAATATAATTATTATAAATAGAATTATTTAATTTAATTAATTTAATTAAACATATAATCAAATGTAATTTTAAATATTATTATGATAGTTTATATAATTCACGCTCTTAAAGAAAATCATGAGAACTTATGGTGAACAAATTATAGAAGATGGCAGTGTACTCGACAGATCGATCCATATGATGCGATACGCGAAATAGATAACGCATTTCAAGCGCTGTGATATTGGTTATCGTTCGTCGTGTAAAACACCTGGAAGTTGCGCGTTGCACGAGCATGAAAGGAAATTCCGCTTTGCTATACGTACTATGAATTATGCCGAGATCTCGTGGGTCATCGTAAAGCAGTTTTCCCTATTGCTCGAGCAACCTTGTTACGCAACAGGGATTTCCCTAGTTCGAACGAGGATTTCACTTGACAATTGGCGCTCGACACGTACGCGCCATAATTATATAAGGAACATTTCTGAGAAATGATTTATGAGAGCCGTAAAACGAATTTAACAAGATCCGTGTCGAATCAACTTCCTAAGATTTGTCATATACATTGGACAGGCCTTTACATTGTCGTGTTATAAATTAAATTTTATTTGTTGAATAACACGTATCTTATAATGATTATTGGAATATTTGATGATTATAGAGTACTTATTTTTGACTCTCATAGAGCCAAAAGGTTGGAGTAGAATATTCGACGCAGCCAGGATAGAGTTGATTCATGTTATTATGTAATTTCAAAATTGTTATCTTAAAATTTCTTGAATTGAAATTTCATTCGGAAAATAAAGTGACCACCGAATTATTCGAATTTGAGTGATTTTTCCCTTATGTAAAATAAATTCTTCGCTTTAAATCGAAGAATTTTTTTTACTTCGAATCACTGCGTACGTGCCACAGTCCAAATGTATTATTATAACGGATCTAACGTTAAGGGGCCGATTTTGGGATATTGGAAAATTATTTTAAAGGTACAGGGCGTGCTACTGAGGCAATAGAGTCACACAAACACGCGTTGTCACCGCGGAAACGATACAGAACGAAATAAGCATATCTGACGTAATTTTCGAAAATAGACCTTTTCAAAGGCAAATGTTTCTTTAGCAAACCTTAAAAAACTGTCCGAAATAGTGCTCTCTACGCTAAAGCGAAATAACTTATAACCTACCATAACATGGCCTACTTTCGGCCTATGCGCTGAATAAGTACATCTGTGCATGCGGGAGAATCCGTATGTGCTACTATGACGGATCTAACGTTATGAGGGTGACTTTAGGATTTTGGAAAAATATTTCCAAGGTACTGGGTGTGCTACAAAGTCACACAAACACGCGTTGTCACACCGGAAACGATACAGAACGAAATAAGCATATCTAACGTAATTTTCGAAAATATACCTTTTCAAGGGCGAATGTTTCTTTAAAAAACCCTAAAAAACTATCCGAAAT